TTCGAGTTTCGCATTACTAAAAGACGCAAGGATCATAGTAGCTATTCATGGCGGACTGCTGTTTCATGTGTGAAAAATGATCATGAATAATGGACATTACATAAATAACAAGAACGATGACAGTTGTTTGGTTAGTTTTGAAAAAGGTTGAAAAAATTGACGAGGACCGTTCTCGAGACATCATTTGGAAGCACAAGTTTTATCTGAAGTATAACTCAATCAGTCGAGGGTAATGCGAGTCTCCCTCGACGAGCGTTAGCATTTAATACAGCATATTAAAAAGCAAAATATACCAACAGATGTACCTTGAAAAACGATACAATTTACATAAGATCATTCTCTTCCTTCTTCTCAAAAAAAGAAAAATCAAATCAATGAAAATAGAAAATGTGTCAATATTATGATCTTACATTATTTATTAAACTTGCTTCAAACCGTTCAATTTACCACTTTTTTCTAAGACAATCATAGCAAACGAGAGCAGAGTAATATGGATTGATAGAGAATAGTCGACATTCTTTCTTCCTATATAAAAATAAACAAATTTGTCATTTTTATTTAGCTAAGACAGATTGTGCAAAACATATTATGAAAACATTGGCTAGAAAGGGTTAGATCTCTGATATCTTCGAACGGAACATCTCTGGGTACTGACAGTGAAAAATATTCATCCCATGTCGCTGTTTTTTCATGAAAACCACCGGTTACCGGCGTTTTCTTAAAAAACCATCGGTCAAAATCGGTGTTTCGTTTTACGCCTCTGTTTTATTGATTTTTTTACTATTTTGTGAGTAAATCTCATTGAGATGCTGGTTCACATCTAAAATATCGATTTTTGATAAGTTAGAACGTGTTTTACGAAAGTTTTTGCAAATCGTCGGCATAGGGTAGACAAGAACTAATGATTATTTTTTACAGCGCCATCTTTAATTATACTGAAACTCGATAATTAAGCAAATTTAGGCGATTGGGCTAGTACCAGCAGCTTGAGCGCACTTACAAATATAAGGAGGCGTGATTTCGACTAAAATCTGACAACTTTCTAAGATTTAAAAAATATTTGTTTAGTTAAAAATTAAAAGATATACAGAAAAAAACGGCGGTTAACCACAGTCAACTGCGGTAATCGGAACAGTTAAGCGCTCAGTTCACCGAACGGTTAACCGACGGTTTTAGACCGGTTTGAGTGACATTGGATTGAATTAATTTCAATTTCAATGGTTTATGCTTAAAATGATTTATCTTATATTACTGTAATAATATTCACTATCTAATAGAACCTTTTATCATATAAAAATTTCTCTAAATTATTTCAAATGAAAGAAAGATTATGTACATTGATATGTTATACAAAAAACCACAACGAATAGCTGTTGTTCTATTGATAATTTAGAAACGGAATAGACAAATGTTCTTCATCATTTTAATTATTCATCACAAAGAAGAATAAAACTAATTGAGATTTAATATCATGTACTTTTTAGTGCACGATGACTAAAAACCAAATATTATTCTCTATAAAACATACTGAATGAACATTAGAAGATAAACAATTAGCCTTTATTATTAATGATCAAGTAGAATAAGTTCTTCGATTTCATATTGAGAAATTTGTTTATTTTACCGATAAAACAAAACAATTTTTATCAATTGTAATAGATATTGAGAATTAATCTTACACAGTTATAACTTTAAGATTTCGATTATTCAATCGATATTCTTTGTTTAGATAAGACTTCTTTTTAGATGGATTAAATCTAATATCATTCAATTGTGAGATTTTATTTGTATTTTTTTTCCGAGAAAGACAGAAAGAGACGCAAGTCTATTTTAGTCGTTTATGCGCATTAAAATATTCATTTCAAACGGAATGTCATTTTTAATTGATTACAATAATTAAAATCTTTTTTTTTCTCCATTCATTTATTCCATTAAGGCGGTGTTTATAAAAGATGATTATTAAAAAATAATTTTAATTCATCAATTATATTTCTTCAAAAAATGTCTTGAAGATTTTCTATAGAATATCAAAATGTCTAATAATGAAATAAATTCATCTCAATTGGGATTGTCGATCTTTGGAATGTTATTAATTGGTGAATTATTTTCCATTCCATGTTATTTATTTTTATTTTATCATATTCTTCGTGAAAGAACTCTTCAAAATCATTCAATTATTATTTTATTAATTTATAGTTTTATTCAGATGACAATTGATTTAACAATGTATTTAGATTTTAATCGACTTGGATATTATGGTATATATAATATTTCATTTTGTTATCTTCATGCATATGTTGATTTTGGAATCTGGTATGGTACACTTCATATTATGTTTTGGATTTCTATTGAACGATATCTTTTCATTTTTTATTCAAATCTTTTTCGAAAAACATTTCATTGTATTTTATTTCATTATATTCCGCTTGGATTTGTTTCATTTTATGCACCAATTTTGTATTTTTATTTAGTTTTCTTTTATCCTTGTGAACATTTTTATGATCGATTTATATTTCTTTGTAATAGTGTTTGTTATTATTATTATATTTCGGATTGGTTTAGTTGGTTTGAATCAATTGTTCATTATATTTTACCGATGATGATGATTGTAATATTCAATTGTACTTTATTTATTCGTATTCTTATACAAAAACGTCGTTTAAAACAAGGAATTCATTGGTATCGACAACGAAAAATGTTTATTCAATTAGTAATTATTTCAATTATTTATTTGGTTTGTCTTTTACCTTTTATTATTTTTAATATATTATCATGGTTTGGAATTTATATTATACGTGATCCTATTGTCTCAAAGTGCATTTTATCGCTTGGATATATACCTGGAATACTATTACCTTATGCTAATCTATTTAGTTTACTTCAATATAAAGAAAAACTGCTTGCACTTATCTTTTGGGAGAGAAAAGCACGAGCAACTGTCGTTCCTTTTGCCAGATAGATTTGAAATAGAAACATATTGACTACCTCTTCAATATATTATCATTTAGATCAGGGACAGCACGATTAGGGAGGCACCCCGCTCTGCTTTCCAACTCGACAAAGCCGATAACGGTTCCGATGGGTTCCTATAAAATCCTATAGGATTCCCGGTGACGGAATTGCAGTGGAGTCCGTCGGTAAAAATCCCGTCGGTTGTTGCAAATTTTATGAGCGTTCTTTTTAGCTATATTCTATGATGACTCTAGGAACCCATGAAATCCGTCTTTAAGATCCGACACCGACGGAACCCAATGCAATTCCTTCACCGGGAATCCGATAGGATTTTGTCGGATCATCGAATTCCCATAGGATGCGAGTATGGAATTGGGCGACCTGAGTTTTGAGAAAAACGACTAAATTTCCTCTCATTTTGGCATTTTCTTTCTCCTGTTTTTGAAAAATACCTCCCGTCCTGATTGAGATCGATACCACACTGAACAAAATACTTACGATAAATATTGTAGATCAACAACTCAAATATCTATTTTTAAATATAATAATAAAAACATCATAAAGTCACATACTGTATGCAGTTTAGTGCAATATTTCTAATTATATCGAACACTTTGAAGATTTGATTATATAGTCATTATTTTAATAAAGATAATGATGAGAGACAAAATTTTTAATTAAAAAGAATTTTTGATCGTGTTTGAAGATTATTTTCAACTTTGACAATAAAACTTAAACTATGAATCAAGAAAAAACTCTAGATTGTACAAATTACAATTTTACAAAATAATGTTTTTAACTCACGTTTTACGCGGTCAATCGCATACTATATGTTCCCAAATATTCTTGCCTATATAGATGATGTAGATGGAAACCTAGAAGATAAAAAATCATCAAAACAATTCATCACATAGATTTAGTTTTGATCAAGAAATAGTGAAAGTTTACCAGTTCATAATCAAATATAACTTATTTATTCTGGAGAGATGTCGATGTGTAGCAGACGACAGTTACAGTAAATGCAAAAATCATATCTGTAGCACAAATGGTGCGCTGAAGCCATATGCACCCATATCTATGTTCTTTTTCTAGAGCTCTTATATGAGATTTTTCGTGACTATATTATAAATTGTTCATGGACTGGAAACTACACGAAACAAATAACTTGAATCAATTAATGACTAAGTAGGTACGTAGAAATCTCAAGATAGTAACCCTGGAGGTGAAAACTATGTTATGTATTATTAGAAAATGTTTGAAAAAATCTCTAATTAATAGCGTATTCATCGTGGTTTTGGCCAAGTTTTACCGAAAGCCTTTTTCAACTATGAAAAGAGATATTAGATACGGCAGAAGTACAAATCATTTAGTCACTCACTAGTCATTTTTTTCATTTTATCCTCCATTCTCAAAATGTTTGCAACACTCTTAGTCGTTTCAATCTACCATCAACATATTTTAGCGAAGTATTCTTTTTCATATTCTTTCAGAAGATCATGAAAGTTTCCATATTAGAAACAGCACGGTGCCTTCATACGTGATTATATATTATTGTTTTTGTATGAGCAGAGTTTAGTTTTTATTCTATTCACATAGTTCAAGCTGAATAAATTATTTCTTTTGACAGATGTGTTAAAAGAAAATTGAAGTTTTTTCATTTCTCAGAACATTTGATAATGTAAGAAAAATTAGCATTCAAATTTATAAGTCACAAACTGTATGTCAACGCCATCTTTTTCATATAAAAATCATGTGTTTTGTTACTGGCTTCTTGTCTTCTTTGTTTCTTCGATCGGTCGGATGAAGAAGAAGTTATTACACAACTGTAAGAAAGCAATAAAAGAAAAAAAAGAAAGCAACATACATTCGATCAAAACAAGGAACTAGTACACACCAAATCAGTATAAAAACTATGCACAGTTTAATCACATTACCCGCCGAATTCGTCTATCGAATTCTCGACCAGTTATCAGATTTTGATCTGTTTTGTTCAATGCAAAATGTCTGCTATCGACTCAATCAAATTCTTAATACCTATCATCGATATCAAGTAAATCCATACTTTTGTATTATACGAATCAGATCTTTATCCCCTAAAAGCTCGAACAAAATCAGTCAATCACAAGGTTGAACATTAGACACATGCCTGACAAGAAGAAAAACCGATGACACGAGTTGTTTTATAAAAAAATGCTAAAAGTTTTATTCTATGAAGGGTTCTCGTTTGTTTATGGATTCCTATCAAAAATTAAGCTACATATCAGTTGAGAGATAAACTATATCAGAATCCTCATCATGCATTTACATAGTAATCAGGAGTATATAGTGTTCGATATGCGTCGAAATAAAGTGTTGCAAGAGGTTATTCAGAAAGTAAAAGAGTACAGGATCTATGTCTCAATAGTGCTATGTTCTGATGAGGCACTGTCAGAATTCTTCTTTCCACTATTAAATGAGATGTTTCGTGACGTTCATCTTCAACAAGTTAAATTTATATTGATCGCAACAGTTTTGTCACAAAATGCAATTCTCTGCCATCCAACTCTAGCATTAATCAACCATCGTAACGGTACATATTTTATGCTAAAAACCAAGTTTTTCATAAAACATCCATGCTTCTGTTAAGTTACATTCATCTGAAATGAACAAAAGAGAAAACTAACCTTCCGTGTACTAAATAATCACATGCCTTGATCCAGGCTTTCTTTCTCAGACCTCTTTTCGCAACATGAACCAGTTGTCTTCTTAAGAATTTTACTTTTCAATACAGAGTTCTCTAAAAATCTACTTTTCGCAAACAAACAAATAAGTAGGTAGGTTTCCATGTGCTCTGGTATTCTCTGTGAAACTTCTCTCCGAAGTAAAAACAAAGGCGCAATCCTCTAAGAAGCTTAAGATATTCAATCGCTAATAAATGTAAAGTAATCAGTTGTCTTTCTCGTCAACAATTGTACGACTGAAATGGTCCATTTTTACGCTTTCTGCTGTATATGTATCGTGATGTAAAAAAAACATTCATATACAACAATTCATCAGAGACCAGGCGAATTTTCACAAATAGCCGCTACACTGCTCTCAGATATGTTCAGATGTGCATTCATGGCTGTCAAGCACTTTAGCTATCTGCTGTAAGGCATTTCTAAGAACATGAACATTCATAAAAACTTATACGAATCATCAGAAGAAAAACAGCGCTATCATTGATAATACACTGCTTCGAACTGCAATGGTTGATATTACCTCTCTATCTGTATATTTATACTCGCTCCATCAACAGAATAGCAGAATACAATCAATCCATCCCCACACTACACCTTATCAGAGTACTTTCTATTCACACTTCACTTTCCTTCCATATCGAATTTCCGTACATACTAATCGCACTGAGTGTAGGAGTCAACGAAGCAGCACAGTACTAGGTTGATACCCTTCGCATAAAGACAGTCATCAACATGCACTCTTTCACTTTATCATCCATTCTTAATACTCTCGTATTTAGACACTTACCACATTGAAGCTTTGGAACAATTCTATCAGCAAGGAAGGAGCACAACAGATGGCTGATGCTCTTCGAGTGAATATGGTGAGCTTTATTACGTTTTAACTTCTGTTTAGTATTCATTGAGCGTATGGTTTTCATTTAGGTGTGCCAGATTAACCGCTGATTTGCTAAATTGAGACTTGTGTTCAATCGAACGAAATGCATATGTGACTTTGTTGAATCGATTTTTAAGAGAAATTCGGAAAGTACAGCATTAGAGTGCGCTTTTTTTGCTGAGTCGAAAGTAATATCGTCATTTTTTTTGTTTTTCCAATCTGTTCGATATTGAGGAAAAGGTGAGGGTGTTTTATTTGTTGTCATTCAGCGAAACGTAAAGGTACAGTTTTGCGCGTGTGATAATATAGGATGAATTCGACAACTATCTAGTCCAAAATATAATGAATTCATAGTATAGGATGGCCAAAAAATTCTGCAACAACTTCACCCTCACCTTCAATTCCTGCGCAAGCCCTCGAAAACTAAACTGTGAAACTCCTACATAAGCAGACTGCATGATCATAATGTGGTTGTTGATAGAAGAAACAAAGTTGCAATTTCTTCTAAATTTAACTCTAAATTAAAGGACTTGAGGTTTTCTACTTCGTCTCTGTATGTAATTTTGGGGGGAATTTTTTAAAGCGACATCGGCTAGAAGAAAAACTGAATATAGTCATCTGGGATAGACCAAAATAAAATTCCAAATGTTGACAGTATTTTCTTTCGTTTTCCGTCAGTATGAATAATGAAAAGCTGTTTTCTCTATCACTACAGAAAAATCACGTAGTACTGAAATCTTTATTGTGATGATTGTTGCGCTTTATAATGGTGACAGCTTCTCATTATTTTCGTTGACACCCTTTTCTGGTATATGACGATAAGAAGGAAATTCTACAGTGGATAGAAAATGTTCTGTTGTAGCATTGGTCAACGTGCTAACGTTAATGATGATTCGCAGGAATGTCAAGCTGATCCTTTTTGTCTAATAGACTGAGAGCATCTGCACAGATAGCAGAGTATATGATTTTGGAATCTCAGAAAAACTACCCTTTTCTCTTCTCTTTCTCTTTTAAATAAAGTCCTATCCGTGAACCATAATGAATTTTCAAGAAGGATCTATTTTCTATCACATTCAGTGGTGGAGAGCAAAATACAACATTACTAATTTTTGTAATTTTATTCTGAACTGTCGGGGGTACCCGATGGGAAATAAGAGATATATATGTCGAATGTCTCACATGTTGAAAAGCTGTGACAAATAGAAAAATCAATATACTTCAAATTTCTACACTTGCGATCTTAATCTTTCCCGCCGTGCATCGCACAAAACGACAATTTCAGTTATAGCTCTTTATACAAAAGAGTTACCGAAGCTGATTTCTGCCTCAGAAATGATTAAAATTTCCTCTTTCTCACTCTCACGTCACTTCATATCTTATATCCTTTGCATCCACCTACCCTGAACATTCATCTTAATATTCTGAAATCCTGCAATCCTACTGGTCAGTTTCATCGATTGCCTGTAGCAAACGCCTGATTCCTTTGTTCTTAGAAAAAAGTAGACGTCGACCTTCCTCTGAGCCTGGGGAAGCATCATGGAAAGTTTGGTGGTGATAGCTATTACAGGGACTGAATGCATAGCGAACAGACAGATAGACAAACTTCCTCCTTTATATATATAGATTCGCTCATCTCAACGTGTACTACATGATTATATCTAGCGTTATTTGATAAGCATACGGATCACGAATAAAAACCACGTTAAAGAAACTATAAGAACTTTGAAAAGCAATGTTTTGGGAAGAGTTTTATTTTAAGATTATAAAGAGTACGAAAAAGTGGTGCAACACCCTTCGAAATTCTCCTGAAAGAAACGAACTATAGTGCGTTAGAAAACCGCCGATTCGCTCTGTCGAATAATTTATAAATAAAAAACTCGAAAAAATTTGACAACATTTGACTTTCAAAGGTAGGAGTGAAGACTGCAACATAAAAAACGGGATTGAAAATTTTTTTTTCAAAGCTTCATAAGGGTCTCTTCTTCTGACCCCTCTATTAGGAACGTTTTATTTTTAATCATCGAATGATAAAAAAAGCATTTGTGTAAATTATAGGTATATGACAAGCAAAATTTCAGGTACGACTTTTGTTATCTAAAAAAGAAAGAGACGAAAAACAGAACTGCATTGTAGTTATTCTTTGCATCATCATATTTTTTTAACAAAGAAAAAGAATATTGATGATAACATAAATTATTTGGCGTATTTTTTTATCTTTAAAAATCAATGACACTACAAAAAACCCACTCTCATATATAAACCAATGTAAAACTCAGTATTTTTCATATTTGTGCTTTAATAAATCAGCTTCATATTAACAATGAAAGTTTTCATTGCTGTTTGCTTTTTATTCGTTTATGTTTATTCATTACCAACATTCGATGCAACATTGGATTCAGCATGGGCTTTATACAAACGTACCTATGAAAAACAATACGGATCAAATGTAGAAGAATCCAAACGGTAAGAGAGTTTGTTTTTCATTCTATTTTTAGTATTATGCTTTTCATTTCTAGTCGATCAATTTGGGAAGATCATATTGCTCTTATTCGAAAACATAATCTTGAAGCTGATCTTGGTTTACATACTTATACAATGGGAATGAATAAATATGGTGATATGGTATGTTTTCAAAAAAAAGCATTTTCATCATATCTCTATATGCATATATTTATAGACCAATCTAGAATTCGTCAAACAAATGAATGGTTTACGTCGTCCTTCAAATGTTAGTTTTCCTGCTGCTTGTGGTAAAAAATATGTTGCCCCATCAAACTTCAAAAGACCAGATCGTGTTGGTATGTATTAAAGAAGTTTCTATGATTTATATAAATTTATTTTCAATAAAATAGATTGGCGTACGAAAGGCTATGTAACACCAGTAAAAGATCAAGGTGACTGTGGTTCATGTTGGGCTTTTGGAACAACTGGTGCACTTGAAGGACAAACATTTGCCAAAACACAAAAACTTATCCCACTTTCGGAACAAAATTTAGTTGATTGTTCAGGTGCTTATGGTAATGAGGGATGTAATGGTGGTTTAACGGACGATGCCTACAGATACATCAGAGATAATAAAGGTATCGATACTGAATCAAGCTATCCATATGAAGCTAAGGATGGTAAATGCCGATTCACCACTAAAGACATTGGTGCTACAGATACTGTAAGTATTTTTTTCTTCTAGTTTAGATAAGAATAATTTGTTTTTTTTCTTGTTATAGGGCTGTACAGACATTGAACAAAACAATGAAAGTGCTTTACAAGATGCAATTGCCACAGTTGGTCCAGTTTCAATTGGTATTGATGCTACACAGTCATCATTTCAATTCTATAAATCAGGTGTTTACATTGAACCATCTTGTTCAGCAACAAATCTTGATCATGCTGTTCTAGCTGTTGGTTATGATACTCAAGATACCGTTGATTACTATATTGTCAAAAATTCATGGGGTACTTCGTGGGGTAACCAAGGTTATATCTGGATGGCTCGTAACAGAGATAACCAATGTGGTGTTGCTGCCTATGCTAATTATCCAAATGTTTAAAAACTTCTTTGAAATCTTTCTTTTGTAATAAAGCTTTGAATTTGTCGGAATTCTTCAATAAATCAATCTTGCAATTTAAATTTAACTATTCTCACACTCACACATATCGAATTTACTGTTTTTCTCATCATTCTAGTAGAATATCATACGAAAGAAGAATTATTGTTCTGTTCATCCTTCATTTAAAATCAAGGACTTATCTTTGATGAACGATATACAGAGGTGAGGATGAGGGTAAGAGATATCTTCTTGTTCGAAAAGTCCGTGCAACTTACAGTATCGTGTAGAAAATGCATCTTTGCAAGAATTATTGGCCTATTGTGTTGATTATAAGCTTTTCCAAGTTTAATATTGATCTTTGTTCGGATTGGCGAACGTTGAGCACAAGGAACAATGAGCAGCAGAAAGTTAAGCACCGGAAATTTGAGCACAAAATGTAAATAATTTTACACTTTAGAAACAAGTGCTAAGCGAAACCCTTTCAAAATCTTGTTTTTCAAACATGCAACTATCCAGACAGGTTGTCGGATCCACAGATTTTTCGATGTCTCTCCCGAACAGAATCTTGAAATCTTATGATATGAAATCTTTTCTAAATTATGTAAAGCATAAAAATGGTTTAGACGCCAAAACTAAAACATTGAGAGTTTGTATAAAATCCTAATGATTCTACGTTGACCCTTTCGGGACCGTGTGACGATTTCAGATAAGAATTGTGAGATGTAATAAGTAAATACTTTATTTTATCCAAAGAAATCGCAACCATACTGTATTTTCCCTCGTCCTTTTATAGTTCTTGGTACATACAGTATCACGCTACAGAAAAATACCAAACTCTATGATTAACTATCTATAATCCATAGGTATCACTCACTGAGTAAATGGGTAGAATATCATGCGATCATAGGTTTTCTCAGAGAGACTTCATCTATCATAAGCATGAGAGAGATCATAAGAATATCATGCATAAACATATGTTTCTTGTGTTGATGTCATCCTGGTATCATACCATAAAGAAGGATAAATATATCAACANTCTACAACCTGCCATAGAAGAAAACTTGGGACGCATACAAGCCGCTTCACAATTTGCCAATCTTTTACATAAAAAATGAGTTTTGCGAACTCCACTTCCGAGACCTAATTTTTTCTCAATATCTCGCGAATGGTTCATCCAAGAGGTTTGAAACTTTCAGGATTGATAGATCTCAAGGAACGAAGGAAAATATGCGCCAGAATTGAGGCTTCACAATGCCTGGATCTGAGCATCAACTGAATTCTATTAGATAAGAACTATTCTGCTCGTTTCTTCTCCTATATTTTTCTTTGCGTTTAATTCGATCGAACTGAAGTTTTTTCCATAAATAGTTGTTGAGCCTAGAGCCTTTGTGGCAGACTTTATCGTTACTATATAATGTGAAAGGAGTAGAGCTATAAACCTGTTCGAAACCAAAGGGAAGCATTCTGCTATAGCGCTGTGTATTATATATATAATATTTGGTGAAACTGATTTATTTCCGAAATTAACTTGGCCTTATATGTTTGCCAGAATCATTTCATTTTTTACTAAGAATCAGTCTGTCTGTATTGTTATTGTTGATGTCTAGATACACTCATAATATTTTTAAAAAGTTAAAACAACTATCTATAAACTAATAAAAGTAGAGATGAAGAAATTCTGATTCATTCAGTGTTAATTTTCATCAATTGAGACATCAGTTCATGTTTAGGAGTAACACCATATTTTTGTGCTATTTTCCGTAATCGATACTTAATTTGACTTAGCGTAGGATACTCCTGCGTTTGAAAGATTTTCTCTCCATTTTGACATCGCTTTGTGCGTATCTGTTGTTGGATTTCCTGTACGGTGAACTTCGAACGGGATTCTTGTGAATCCAGCCAGACTTTTTCAATGAAGTTTTTAACATTGTCACTCATAGGATTGGTATGTTTACGTGTTCGTAGACCCCATCCGATTGACGAAAACTTTTGGTAATGAGCAGACGTTGTGAGATCGACATGTGACATGTCTTGATCTTGAGAAAGTAATGTGGCTTGTTGTTGAGCATCGATACCAGTTGTTCGTATGAGTTCTGTGAGATGCAGTCGAGCAATATCATTTGCGGTTCGTGACTGAGTTGGTTGAACATTATGTAAATTGGCGGATATATGGGATTCAAGATCAGTATTCGACTCAAATGTTGCTGTACAACCGCTTACAGGACATAATTTTAAAAAATGATGCCTGCGGTCGTTTCTCCTACTTTTACATTAAATAAATAATATAAGACAAACAAATGAAGCTATTTTACTGTTCTGAGACTATATTTGATTCTTGTTCATTAATCGAGCATCCGAAAGGACTGACAATTCTCATATTTGCCTCAAAGTCGAGCTGTTTGTAAGGAATCTCAAAACCAGTACCAACACTTGTTGCCTTGAATACATTCATATTTTCTGAACCATAACGTATAGAGCGAAGTGTAGAAACGTTAGGGATATTTGTTTTCTCTAAATAGCCTACAAAATATCACGAGGATATACAATTTTCTTCCATTTAGGAATGCGTACCTTGACCAGCAACAATTTCAGCCACTGCGACTTTAGTGTGTTTTATACCTCCTGCGTACTCCATCCCTTCTTTGATATCGATTGCGCTTAATAAGTCATTGCCACTTGCTTCCCACGAACGCATTCGAGCTTTATTCACCCCAAACATTCTATTACAAATATCTTCACCTTTTTGAACCTCGCTATAGTCGCGCGTCAACAACTCGATACCCATCTACAGAGCACGACATATTAAAATTGAAGTAATTTAGAAGGGTACTCACTCGTTCACAAATCACCTTTTCGACTTCAGGCGTAGAATGTGATGAGAAATTGCCTGCGTTGTCTGTGCGTTTGTGAAGTTTTTTAATGTGAGGATGATCAGTTTTAAATTGTTTAGTAATGATCTCACCAGCACTTAATGTGTCGAGTTCCGTCTGAGCAGCACCAGTTATAGCAACAATATACGAGTCAGTAGAATATGTAGGAAGAGAAAGATTTGTCGTAGTGGTGGATTCGCTTGCAAGTCTCGTCACTTGATCTTTCCAAACGAACGAGCCCATAAGGACCGACATTCCTTTTTTGCCAAAATATGCACTTTGAGGCTCTCGATGCTTTTGAGGTAAGATTTTTTGACCCCAGTCAAATGTGCAGAAAGCTTCATCTTCCTCCATTTGCGAAATGATCGATTTCTTCTCAGTATCCTGTCGAGCAGCGCGAAGGTTGTGACGAGACCACTCAACAATATGTTCCGATGCATTTTCGAAGTCAAACCTTGCTTCTCGTTGGAAATCTTTATTGCCGATTTTTGGGATTTGCTGACTTATCTCGTCGAGAGTTATGATAATATTGATGCAGTCGGGACAATGAGCCGTATGTGTATGATTACAATTTGAATAATACTCAGCACGTTTAGAATCGGAGAGCCCGAAAATAGTACAGTGAGTGATACAATCCGCGTCATCAGAACAATGCCCAGTGTGTCTGATTTTTTTATATTGCTCCCCCATATCGATTTGTTTAAGCAAACGTTTTCGATCAGCTTGACGAATAGGTAAAGTTTCGACAATCTCTACAAGTAAAAATAACTTTGATTTTCATCACTAATGATCCTAATTCTTTTCCATTACTCGAGAGAGATAGCCATGCTTCTACGCCTTCGACAACAAACTCATCAAGGCCTGCCACTATCCGTTGTTCTGCTGGTTTGATACTATTGAGTATGTCGTACAATTTACTCTTTCCTAAACCTTGAAACCCAGTTTCATCACAATACTTTTTGTAGTCTACTAGCGCATGTGACCGTTGTGACTGTATAATCTGTTTCGGTAACTCGTATTTTTCCCCATTGTCCATACGTAAATTAGTGAGACCGTATGTGCCTACAAGTGAGAAGAAATAAGTGAGAAAATAAGCATGACTGATGGATTAGATGCTACCTGAAACAAGTGTGTTGCTCTCAACAAGCCAACTGATAAAGTGTTTGATCTTTTCGGGAGCAGCTCGTTGTCGAATGGCCGGTTCTTGATCCTTATTTAACAAATACTCTTCATCGTCATGCATTTGATGAGCTGCTGTAACAGCATGTCGGGTACACCCAAATAAACTCATTACTTTTTCATATTTCCATGAACGAGGTAATAGCGAAAGAATCCGAACTTGCTCGATGAAAGGCATTCTCTGTTTGACGTATATATCGTAGACTTGCTTGAGACTTTGAACCATTTCATTACTTATCGATAATTCAAGTGCTTGTGTCTCTCTAGCTTGTGATTGAAGCTGAGCCATTTGAATTAATTCTTGACCTCGACCAGGCATAAGTGTCTCAGCTAGTTCGTCTAAATTATTTTAGTGACATCAATATTAAGTATCATTTTTTTGTTCGTAATATACCTTGAAAAGCTTTTGATCCTCGTGTAAATTTGGATATTAAACGACGAAGACCGCTTTTTGAATGATCTTTGATTGGTTTAGTTGTTTGAGATCGAATTGGACTTAAATTTACATCTGCTAGAATGCGATTCATCGTGTCCCGTCTATTATCGATCGTGAATTCAGATCCACCTGTATGTTGAGAAGCTATATCGACGGGGATGGCATCATCTATTATGGATGCAATATTGCCTATCAGCGACGCCAGTTTTCGATGCTTTGCACATAATCTTAAAACGGAATTCTTTAATTTATCGAAACTATCACTAAATGAGATCAGATTTACCTGCCCCCTATTGGAAAATCCTCAATCTTCAGATAAGTGGAGAGCTTCTCTCTTCGACAGTCTTTCATTACTGCACTATGCCCTGAGGCATGTTCCGGATGATGGCATGTTGTATTTCTACTAAACCAGTCGATGCCAAAAGAACTTCTATGCTTGGGACAAATTTTCATATTATCCTCAACAAGAATGCTTTTCCTGGTCAATCGATTGACGATTAAGTTTTTTTCATTCATAATAATATCATCATCTGTCTTTTTGGAAATGATTGTTCTGTTTTAAGTACGAGCGAATATCCAGCTCGGTGAGGTAGGAAAAAGTGACACATTTTTGCGGCCAACCATAGTGGCCTATTTCATAAAAAAATATATAAAGCATAGATTTTATTAATCTACATGGCTCACGTTTAGCAGTTGGTCTACATCCATGCACTGTTTTATCACCAAAACGGCAACATTCATTAAAGTTGATATTTTCTGGAATTTCCACGTCGGCCGTGGTAATGGATTGCGTTTCCACCTCATCGACTATCATATCATCTAAAAAAAATCTGATACTATATCAGGCCAAAATGGTAATTAATACAAACTGAATGATTCGTTTCTTCCATGAAGTGGTCTGTTATCAATGTTAGAAAGAATTGGCACGTATGGCGTAAACATATCTTCTGGATGACTGATTGGGTTGGAATTATAATCATAATCAGATATGATGATCCTGTTATACTTCTTGGTTTCATTTGATAAGATCGAACCGACGAGTAAACAATCCATGAGAGAGTTGTGCGATACTGTGGATATAAACGGCGCGCTGCTAGCTTTGTTAGCAGAATTAGTGCCATAGCTACCTGAGGAAGTTTCGTCTCGAAGTGTTCGCCTGTCTTCATCAATTGAACGAGTCGCATTGTTTGTTTGATATTCAAACATACTCGGAGCAGCAAGAAATCGAAGTTGTATCAGACCAACTGAAGCTTGAAGACGTACTCATATAGGAGAAAGTACGAGGCATTGTGACGATTTCAGATAAGAAAAGTGAGATGTAATAAGTAAATACTTTATTTTATCCAAGGAAATCGCAACCATACTGTATTTTCCCTCGTCCTTTTATAGTTCTACGTACATACAGTATCATGCTACAGAAAAATACCAAACTCTATGATTAACTATCTATAATCCATAGGTATCACTCATTGAGTAAATGGGTAGAATATCATGCGGTCATAGGTTTTCTCAGAGAGACTTCATCTATCATAAGCATGAGAGAGATCATAAGAATATCATGCATAAACATATGTTTCTTGTGTTGATGTCATCCTGGTATCATACCATAAAGAAGGATAAATATATCAACATCTCTAAGTTGGATGCATCAGATGAGAAGCTAATATCTAAGTGCAAACAGGAAGGAAGAAATACGATAATAGATGTATGTAAGAAGGAGGAGAGGAGAGAAGAGCATAGGGAAAGAGATAGCACAAAGCATCTCAAGAAGCGAAAGGAAAGAAGAAACAAGTATCGAGATTATTAGTAATGTATGGGAAGAGAAAGCAGAAATGTACAATCATGGATTGTCACAGGCATGTGCGAAGCAGACGAACAATCGCTATCTTTATCGGATGTCATAGAGCAACTTGACTCTGCGAAGATTCTCGATGCTCCATCACTATCAGTGCTTGAATCTGCATAGTTTCGTGATAGTAAATACGGTGGCAAACCACGGCCAGGTTGATAGCGAGAAGCATCTTGACCAGCCATTTTGTATGAATATTATTCCCTTTCTGAGTTACTCTTTATATATTATGAGTTATTCACGTAATCCCTTCTCTATTGTGCAACAATTGAGATTATACAATTCAAATTTATCTTTTCGAATAGTTTGTGCAACCATCAGTTTATGAGTTAAAAAAAGTACACTTTTCTTCATTTATTTTTTACTTTTGTAATTTTTCGTCTTCTAATACAGTCTTACTCGATGCACTATGAACTATACAACCTATGATATCTCATTCTAATTTAAAAGAAAAGAAGAACAAAGTTCATTAACAACGGTTGAGTGATCGTCTTTCTTGTTCTTTTGAGTGCACTTGAATATTGTGTATATTTTGTCGTTCTGTCCAGTTCATTTATTCGTACTTCAATGAAGCGTCGTACAGTTATATTACGCAAAACCACACATCTTTTAATATTAAAAGACATGTGTTAATATTGTCTTGCAACAAGATAACTTAACAGTCAACTCGAAAGTAACAATAGTTAAATAATATAAATTTTGCTATTTACTATTGTTCCGTTGACAGAACCAATATAGAATCTATGCTGCAGAACAATGAAAAATCAATAAGTTTTTGTTCTGACTAACCGAAGACATTCAATCTATACTTTTAGTAAAGTTGTGGCTTTTTCTATTGTATCTGCTCTTTCTTCAGAACTATTGGCCTTTTCATGCATCATTTACTATCGCCGTATCAGGGATCAGACAGAAAAACTTTCAGAATTCTCCAATATTTCAAACTTCCCTGGTTGGAAAAAAGATTCTCAAAAGGGGAAAACTAACTGAAAATGCTGGAAAAATAGTCACTATTTATGGAAAAAACTTCAGTTCGATCGAATTAAACGCAAAGAAAAATATAGGAGAAGAAATGACCAGAATAGTTCTTATCTAATAGAATTCAGTTAATGCTCAGATCCAGGTATTGTGAAACCTCAATTCTGGCGCATATTTTCCTTCGTTCCTTGAGATCTATCAATCCTGAAAGTTTCAAACCTCTTGGATGAACCATTCGCGAGATATTGAGAAAAAATTAGGTCTCGGAAGTGGAGTTCGCAAAACTCATTTTTTATGTAAAAGATTGGCAAATTGTGAAGCGGCTTGTATGCGTCCCAAGTTTTCTTCTATGGCAGGTTGTAGACCTAGGTGGGGTCTTCAAAGCTGGATAAGAGATTTAAAAAGTTAGGTGATTTCCTGGGAGAAAACTAAGGTCGAAAATCGTTATTTTTGAAAAATTTCATTTATGTTTCACTTGTTCTACACGAATGCTTTGCTCTAAAGGGCTGAAATTTATAGGATATATAGATGGTACTAGGATGTACTTGTCCTGAAAATTTCAGACCTCTATCATCCCACAATCAGGAGATATAAGGGTCGAAAGTTGTTAAAAGCGGTCATTTTTTCGTAAATTGTGAGATCCATAAAATACCAATCATCCAATCATTTCAGTTGAAATTTACAGCACATGTAGAACTTACCTGGATGTTGATGTACGAAAAATTTCAGCTCAAACGATTGATGTTTTCTTGACCTTTCAGAGTGTTCAAAATCGTTCCTTGAAAAAGTCAAATTTTATAGTGCTTTTAGTAAAACTGCTATAAAAACCGAACAATTCAATATTTTTGTAATCGGTTTTCACCAAAATACATCAAACATTTGCCCCTATCACATATGCGAAAATGAGCCAAATCGGCGAATGACCTTTGAGCACTTTCGTTCGTGGCTTATATGGAATGGCTGATTTATGTAGAAGAAATTTTCTTTAGAAACTATTTAGTGCAAGATCATCAAATGGCTGTTCGAAAAGGTTTGCAGATTTTGATCGATAGCGTAAATATCTTATTATGAGAATACTGATCGTACCGACAATGATTATACCAATGACAGACGGAATGATAATTTTGAGAAGTAATGCTGTTAGAGAATTAGTCGAAGTCGATTGTATTGTTGTAGTCGAGATACAAGGTGTTTGTTGTTCTCTACCATCATCACAGACATATATTTCCATTACATCAGAAATTGATTCATTTGTTAACTGAGAAGTTAAGTTTTGACTTCGCAAAGACGAAAAGGGATCATTCAATTGTTGACGTATTCGTGTAAGTACAGAATCAGCTCTTTCTGTAGCAGTATTGAAAAGGCGAACGTACGTCGTGGTGTTTGTTGATGTACGAACTGATGATTTCATTGTAGTAATATGAATTTGATTTGAATGAATACTAAGAGCTGCTGTGAAAATATTTAAAATTTGTGAATTAAGTTGAGTTGTAGTTAAATTTTCAATGTTAGCTGGAAACGACAATATAAATCGAATGTAATAATTTGTTAATACAGTCAATCCAGCAAAAGTATAAATAGAGGTCATGGATTCCTGTGTGTATGATGTTTGACGTGTCACAGTATTCGAAGAAAATGTTGACTCGTGTACGAGAGTACTATAAACTTTTGTCGTTGATGATACTTGTATAGTTTCAGTAGAAATAGTCTGATGAGATATTAATTGTGTTGATGTTATTTCATCTGTAATTATCGATGGTTGTGTAGTATCCATTACCTTTGTATTCAACTCCAATGACGATGAAACTTGTTGGTGCTCTGATGTATGTGGATCAGTTTGATAAGTAAAGATCGTATTTTGAGCGTTATTGAATTGTGTCGTTGTCATTTCGGTTAAAATTATACTTGGTGAAGAGGATGTCGATAATGATGATAGTAATTCAGTTGCTTGGAGAAGAACTTCATATGTTACATTTGATTCTGATGATGTCATATCGAAAATATGTACAAGATCTTCAATTTGATCACTTGCCTGTAAATGATCAACATTGTGCGTGAGCCATGTGTTAACAGTAACATCTAGACCATTATTGATACGTTTTGAAGAGATGAGAGTATGCTGTGGATATAAATTTTGAAAACTAATATGGATAAAAGATGAATATGTTTGATTATGAGTTGCAGTAACAATTAATCGTTGTGTGTAATAATCTATTGAATAATATTGAACGAAACTTGAAACAAGATAAACGGGAAATGAGAGTGTAGCATTTGTACTACTATAAACACGTTCTTTGCCATCTAATTCATTGACAAGATAATCATATTGACTATCGTTGAGTTCGGAAAGTAGAGTGTCGAGTAAAACTACTTTTTGTAAACGATGTGTTGTCAAAGAATTGATTAAGGATAATTTTGAATCACCGTTAGGATTTGTTTGTACATAGGATGCAGTAAAATTTCTGAAATAACCTTTAAGAGAGGAAAGCAATGTCCAAGTGACCATTGAGGTTGTAAATGGCGATAAATCTCCGAGTGTAGTCGATAGTTCTATATTGAATCGTTGTTCTTTATTTACTTTCATTCCTGTGATTCGAAAATTAATCGGTAAACCTTTTTCATTCTCAACAATTGTTGGTTGTCCACTAGAGATTCGAAAGTTTCTCGCTGATCCATATCCACTATTTGTAATGATAACCGCAAGAATGAATGGCTGTGAAGTAATAGATTCGTTCGAAAATGGATCAGGGCCAATGATATTTTCTTCAAGAAAATAAGCTATATCAAGAAGAGATTCTGGTTCGACAAAAATCGAATCTGGTTGAAGAGTTATATTAACGAGTTCTCCATCAATTGTGTATGAAAGTTGACCACCAACTTTATACCTAGTAGCTTCTATAGGTGCAGCGAATGAATATGGAATAAGTAACCAATTGATTTGGCCAGAACTACTTGATGGAAGATTTGCATCGTGTAAATCACCGCTAATCTTCGGATCGCCAATACTGAATCTATCGGTTGCATCGGTTTGATTCGCTGTATAAACAAATAAAGTAACATGAACATTATATAAAGTATCTCCGCCACTATTATCTATTGTTAATTCAGCATCAAAACCTTGTCGAGTTATTGTAAATTGTTGTAAGATTCTGATAGTGACTGCTGCACAAGTACCGATGGGAGAATCGCTAAAGACTTTTTGATAATTGTCAAAAATAGAAAATTGTGCTTGAATTATATTTGAATAACCCAATAAATTTGTATAATTCACATCTTTCATGTATTGTGTTAGACGTCTATCAAATTCAGATAGACTCATAAAAGAGAGATAATCATTTGTTAAACTGTTTGATTCATCAATATCTAGTGAATAAAAAGATACTGTTCGATTAAAGTACAAAACACGATTATGAGTTTGAGTTTGATTGACACATTGATGAGGAATTAATATTAAATCATTATATTCTTGTGTACTGATCAAGTAACCTTCATCGCTCGTTGATTGTTGTGCTCGATTAAATGCATCTTCCCATGATTCATCAACACAACTGAGATCAAGCCAAACTGCATCTCCATAGCCGAGGATAAGCAACTCTCGAAAATTATCCATAATAGGAATGATAGATGCTAATTGAGATTTTGCAATTTCACTACTGCTGCTAAAAGAACGCCTTTTTCGTTGTTCTGAATGTGAAATTGAAGGTAAACAACCACCAGCAACGCCTTTCAAACAGATTATGGCATCAAGCCATGGTGGTACAGGAATACCATGACAACTCAATAGTCCACTTGTTAGGTCTAATACTAATGATATTGCGCTTAAAACACGACCTAGCCGAGATGTGGATGATGAAGAATTATACTTGCTCAACGTAAATGGAATCGATACTACGTAAAATAAGAAAAAGACATTAATTTTTTATACATTATTTTGCGATCTGAATTAATATGCAGTATACGATGAAAACATTTAGACTAAAATCATCTACCACTTGTATGAACTAGAGAAAAAGTTACTTACTGCATTCTTCAGCTTTGCTGAACCATTTATATTTGTCAGGTATCACTTTTGCAATAATGCATTCAAGAATACTACTCACACAGCTTTCACATGTCGGACTTTCGAATCGAAAAGGTATGATTTGTGTCGTTGTACCGCCTTCGTTTCCGTCGTCAACAAAACCACTTCCTGTGCTGAATCCGCCTCCAGTCCATTCGTTTGGAAATACAATATCAGGAGGCAATACATTATTGTATGTAAATACGGGCAGGTTTCCAACGAGATACCGTAAGCCATTACAAAGATAGGTAGCTGTAAAATCTGCGAAAGCTGCAGTAGCTACGCCTCGCTTGATACGATGATTATCAAGATGTTCTACCATTACTGCAATAATTATTGAAGAACTTGCTTCAATACTAGTGTTAATTGATTCCCTAAGAGAAAATCTTAAATTTGAGACAGAATTTGGTAAATTGAATTGAAAATTATCTAAGCGAACAAGGCCATAATTCGTAAAAGTCAAATCAATCTGAGTTATATCTTCATTTTCTTCTAGTTCATCAAGATCAATAATCGTTGGTGAAACCACAATCACAGGTGCAGGAACATAAGCTACATATTCCGCTTCTAATGTTATACTATACGTTTGTTCGACAGAAACTTTCGTAACTGTAAAAGTATACGAAACAAAGATACGTTGAAGAAAAATAACTAATTCTCGATTCGATGTTGAGTCTCGATCAATTGTTATAAGAGTTTGATATGATGAATGTTTTAATGCTTGAGCGCGAATATCATAAATACCTGCCGGAAGTGATATAGATGCATATCCTGTTTGATTACTCTGAAGTACATGTTTTTCATTGAGAAATTGATTGGTTATTGTAATAGTTACATCAGGTAAATTCACTGGATTATTACCAAAATAAGAAAATTCATCTTTACAGACAAAATTTATATTGAACAACGTAGTGTTACTTCCAACAATGGTCAATTCGACATTGAACGATTGAGAAATCGAATATGTAAGATCTTTAACGGAACCTCGCAAATTGAATATACTTAATGGTGCTGAATCAGATACTTGGATCATTAGAAGAAACGAGGCACTTTCAGATTTGTTGAGTTTCGGGATACTTTCTGTTAGAACAGAAATATATCCTTGATTTGGTAAAGTAATTATTAAAGATCCTAAAGGAAACGAGCCCTTGTTATAAACTGTGATTGATAGAAACTTTTGCGAATTTCGAGGAGTAATTAAGCTTGTCCATGTTGGATCTATAGTAAAGTCTGCTCGATCAACGACTACATTAATTGGAAAAGCAACAATAACTGGTTTGATAATTTCATTTGTCCATGTGAAAGCAAGATAACCTGAACCACTTTGATTAAATTGAATATAAAAATCAATGGAACAACTTGTTAATGGAGGAATATTTCTCAAATTACAATTGGGCGATGAAAGATTGTAAAATCGCACGACATTTATAGGGCTGGTTAATGAATATGTCAAATTGTCGATTGAATAGTTACAAGGATTTGAAATTATGGCAGCAGATGAAAATGAATTCATATAGATCTCTCCTGCACGCAGTTGCAATGTATCTACAGTCATTATTTTAACATTTAAACCTAAAAGAGTCAAATAATCCGGAGTAATGTTATTTTCCAAACCAGCTGGATGTTCACCACCTACATACAATGTTCCATATTCGTTCGTCAAAGGCATATAATACGTAGTGAATGTATTTTTTGTCGATGGTACTTTTACTGACGGTAAATATCGGCGAACATTATCAATAGAAATCCATACATTTGCTTGTAACCAGCCAGGTCGTACTGTTCGATTATAGTATCGATGAATTTGTCCATCAATGATCAAGGGGGACGTAATTCGAGTTAAACTTTCATGTGATTGTCGAAAACGAACACTTACATTGTAAATAGGAGAAACAGATAATGTGAATGTTTGCTGATCAGTAACACCTGTTGATGTTTGTAACACATGAACATTTATAGTATAATCAGTTATAGACGCAATTGCTGATGGCCATTGTATAAGTGATGATAATGAATCTATGGATAATCCACTTGGAATATTTCCAATCAATGACCATTCGAAAGGAGATTCACCTTGTAGAAGATATTGAGAAATTGAGAGATTAAATGATGACATTTCTATTAATGTAAAAGTTGGTATCGTCATTAAACGAGGTGGAATTGGTAATGTCGAACAATTTGTACCAGAATATGGATAATAACAACGGCAAGTACCCATGACACATTGACCATGATTGCATCCAGTTAATGGACAACTTGGTAAATATCGATATGTTAAAGTATTCAGTGAAGTAACACTCATATTGTTTTGTAGAAGATAAATTTTAAGGTTATCAGCTGGATGAGAATTCAAAATACAATTCATTTGTTTACTATTGATAAAAGTAGCAGAAATCAATATTGATTGATTATTACTATCAATTAGTTGACAAAATGATGAAACATTTTGAAAATTATCACCAGACAATGTTACGCTTGTTGCATTGGATAATTCTAAACTTGATGTTGGTGATATTGAAAAAACAATTGGAATTAGTGTACAATTTGCTCCATAGTATCCATTCTGACAATATTGGCATAATGATCCATATACACGTGTATTGTCAACACAATCACATGTTGCTATTGAATGATTACATCGTGCTTGACCATGAATACACACTGGACATTCAACACATGATGGATAAGCAAAACGATTCTGTGCACATTTGTCACATGAATCTCCTGAATAGGGATCGTTACATGAACATGTTTCATTATCAATGCAAGATCCGTGATGAGTACAATTTTTTCGTGTTCGACAACTCCATTGACTTGATATCATAAATGACGATGTTGCTAATGAACCAACTCTTGATTCATTGAATGGCAAAGTTAAATATTGATTTGTACTTGAACAATTTAAAAGAATATGAAGTGATATCGTTATGCTTGAGAATGCAGGTAAATTCGTAATTAATGAAGGAAAAAATGAATAGGATTGAATACATGGTGATGTATAAGTTAAATTCATTGTAATATTGATCAAATCAAAATCACCTGGATTATTGATAATAACAAAATCCACTAGATGATTTGCATAAGATGCATATAACCAATACGTCCATTGTGAAATTGCGATACGAAGATTTTCAACTAATAAAACGTCTTGTACTTGTGGTGATGAATCATAAGCTGGATGGGAAGTGGCAATTTCCAATGATCCAGCGAATGAATTCTTGGAGAAATGATAGATACCAGTGTAGTAGCCTTTACTGTCAACAGTAACTGTTGTTTGGAGTGAACGATCCACCCAGACTTTTACTGAGACATTTCCTTGAGTTGCATTTACTGAATATTCAAGATCATAGGCGATATTTGAAGATATGTATTGATTTGAACATTTCCATTGAATTGTTGCACTGTAAGAGGGTGGAACTTGAATGGCAATAGAAAGATTCGTTGTGCCCATTACATTAGTGACAGAAACAATAAAATTGTAGTTATCTAGCGAAGCTAATGCAGAACTTGTATTCAAAATACCTGTTATTTCATTTAAATAAAAATGATCGTAGTAAAAGTCAGTCATGGGATTAAATTGATCAATTTGAAAATAATAACGGAATGGTGGAGTACCTGACACTATGTAAGCAGATAAGTTAACTGTTGTTGAATTGAATTCATTGACGATGAAAACAGGTAATGGGTTGAACACCGGTGGTAAAGGAGACAATTCACACGATGATCCATAATAAGGTGGATTACAAACGCATGAACGAAATTGACAACGCCCATTTGGATAACAATTAGTAAAATTAGGACATGTTGGGATCACCTAAAACAAGAGCATTAAAATATTTTAAAAATAACGACTGTGATAGTTTAACTTACCGATAATTGAAAAGTTGAATAAACCTGTTCCGTTTCATTAATCATCAACCGAAGAAACCAATTGACAGTTGTATCAAGCATTTTGAAAGGAATCTTACAGATAACAGTTGAGTCATTAACGAATAGTGCAGTGACTACAGATACATTTATACCATTGCTATTAGAAAAATATTTACACGATCGGGGACCCATGAAGTCAGTTGAATTGAAGTTTAATCCATACACCGTTAAATTCATATCACCCATATCGTGAATTGTTGTGGGACTAATTGATTGAATTATTGGATGTGATAAACAGGAAGGACCAAATCGATTTTCTTGACATTTATCACACATTTGACCAGTGAAACCATATTTACAAATACAGGTCGAATTGCTACAGGTTCCATTATTTTGACAGTATGTAGTGCATGCCACACATTCACGAATCCCGGAAGATATATTCGATACAACAAAGAAATGATCAATGTCGCATTGATCACAAAGATATCCGATGTAACCTGTTGGGCATTCGCAACTTCCAAAATGACATTCACCACGCGAACAAGAATAATTGCTTGGGCAAGTGATCTGGATCGAAATAGAATAGTTCCATGGAGCATATGATTTGGTAACCCACGTAATGCCATGGTCAAGTGAGACTGAAACGTATACGTCCTGGCGTTGTGTATAGTTTGACAGCATACAGACTACCGATGAAATATTGGCGCTGGTTGCTACAGTAGTCCATACAAGGGATGATTCAAATCGACATAAAACATCATCTATCGATGAAATATCGAAGTAAGCACCCATTAAATTAATATTGACATAATTTCGTGCTGAAGTGTCACTAACGATTTTGGGTTGCACAGAAAGTAGTTGTGTCTTATTGGTACATTGCGGCCCATAATAACCAGATTGACATTCTGTACAGAAAAGACCCGTGAAACGGACGGAATCATCACAAATACAGGTATCGTTTTTATGATTACAGATCGCATTCGAAGACTCACATTTACTACACGGATAACAATTGGGATAATTAAAGTATCCTACATCACACGTGGAACAATTTGGGCCTTCATATTCTATGTTGCAAACACATTCTCCCATATCCCAAGTCCCATGATAGTTACAAGTATTTGATTTAGTTGTGTTTGACCACACTGTTATGTTTGTTATCGGATTCATTGACTGTATTCGATTGCGCTCCTGAATGACACAATCTTGCTCAATTGCATAATCAAACAATGATACTGATCGAATCAATCCACCTCCTAACGTTATAAATTGACGATTACGATCAGACCACCAGCCTATTCGCACATTACCTGGAATAGTGTTGTAAGGCTGATTAGTCCGCGTGATACACGTTGCTTGTTGATAATCTCGATAAGCGCATAATTGTCTACTCGTAGTATTATAGGTGACACATATCTGATGAAAGACACCATCGAAAAGGGTGTCTGGTCCAACGAAGAGCAACATATTATCATGTTGAGGGCACATTCCAAATACATTTATATGTGTACTATTGAAAATACCTATTGTGAAATGTTTATTACATCCTCCAGTTTGTGTTGATTTGGGTGAACCGATATCCACGATGATATTATCAATGTTCCAGTTACTAGCACGAAAATAAGCACAAACACTGCGACTACTATCACCGCTGATATTTGTATTAGCATTGAAATACATGAAATACGTAGTTTGAATCGATGAGGGCATTGTCCAGAATGGAGTGCATTTTGAACCTGAATAAGAAGAAAACTAATCAGTTGAAAAATTGTTTTTGTCAGTAGGACTTACCTTTAGATCGGCAACCACGCAATTGAATATCATCAAGAACAAAATCATTCCCGTTACCGCCTGGTGCATTTGAAATCATCAATAAAACTACAGAAGTTGTTGGTGCAATAAATGATAAGCCATATTGAGCCCAAGTTAAATTGCTATATTCTGATATAGGACCAGTGTCTATCTGTGCTAGTAAAATATTATCGAGCGATGGAGACCGAACTTGAAATAAAATATTTGGCTTCAATTGATTCAATGTAGATATAACAATGTTAGCAGCCCAGACAGAGAACTGATAACGACTTCCAATAATCAGTCCAGTTACTGTATAATTGTAAAGTTGACCGAGTTTATAGTTTGCATTCACCAACAACATGTAACCATTTGCATCATCCGTGTGATCTCGTGCACTTCCATGCCATGTACCAAAATCATTGGGCACTGCATTTACAAAAGCAAAATATCCGTCACCTACAGGACCTCTAAAAGACTGGTGATATGTTGTCGTGAAATCAAAATCATTGGGAATTGCGCTCGAATATTGTGGAATACCGGCACCAAATGTAACAGACACAATGGGAGCTAAGTTACTCAAGTCAGTATTATTACAAAGAACATCAGACTCTATTGAGAAGAAAAGAAACCAACATTAATACAATTGGAACGTCCATTCAAAAACAAATTTGATACATACGAACTGCACATGTTGGACCAATATAACCGCTTGGACATATACACGTATCATTATTGCTACATGTTCCACCGTTCTTGCATACAGGATTACAGACAGCTAAAATAAACATGTAGAATGAACGAATATGTTGCTTTCACTTTCTCCTTATTGTTTACAAACGAATAACAAAAATACTCGAAAAAAAACGACTATATTTACGCAAATATCCTGATGTCATCCATTGATCTCTATATTCACCATTACTATATGAATACTTTGGCCAGCAAGCGGACCAAGACGCGCGTTAGCTGAAAGCAACACAACCGTCGGTTTTGTTTACAAAGGGTGAGGATGAGGGTTTTATAGTATAAGAAAGACAAACCCGCACCATATCCTCAGCTATCCCTCACTTTGTTTACTCACCAGTCGCCACGACTTTGCTTGAGTCTGTTGCACTGTATCCCAATTTTGTACTAGTCGTAAATGTGATGTCTAATAAATAATAATAACATGTTTTATAGTTATTTTGAAAAGTTATGAATATTGTATCTTATATCTATTTTATTTCTAGAAATTTAGTTTAAAAAAACCATGTAATAAACGTATTTATTTTGTAAAGCTCCTCAGATTTTATTCTTTAGACTATGCTATGACTCACTGGATGTCGTGCAACTACAAAGCATAAAGACAACGCTAATTTAAAGAGTTGGTTTCACTCACAGAATAATTCGAGAGCTATGAAAAACTTAGTTTGAATGTAAATAGAAAGTTTTCACTGCGAAAATCAACATTGTTGTCTAACACGATACTAGGCACATGACGGATTCCGAAATGAACCCCACTACTCCATTGTTCTTACCATGAACATTCCAAAGAAATATTGTATAGAGGAGTTTGGTGATGATATACATTTTTTGTAGTGAAAATTATGAATTCATATCTAAACATACGATGAGAAAAAAGTTTAAAGAAATGAGTATGTTGGCCTGGTTTCAATTATAGTATTTGATATGCATTATAGAAGTAAAATTTGTTTAAAATAATCACTGCTTCATTTTTGTGCACGGCAAAAAAAACAATGTCGCTTTTTATTAAAATACTCATGTCAAATGAATCATCAAAAACTGAGAATTTCTTCGATTTAATGCACGTACAGAATTTTGAAGCATTCATCATTCTCTCATCTTTCCCTTTTGAATAAATAGTTTAACAACAAAAAAAAAGAAAAAAATTCTTTAATTGTAAAGTAGGTTGATTTATGCAGAGTAAATAGAAAAAAAAATCACAACACGAAAAGTATTCGGGCCAGTCCCGAAAGCAGAGAATACATACAATTTCGTGATTTCACATATTGCAAACATTAGTTCATCGATTCTGAAATGTACCCTATTTACCTCTCTAAAAATAAATAGGAGTTTCACTGAGCCTGCATTCAGGAGAAGATCATTTGGGATTTCGTAGCGATTTACGGAACCAAAAAACGATCGACAGAATGTTCAGCAATCTTTTCTTAGTTCGGCAAATCGCTACGAAACCTCAAAGGATCTTCTTCTGGATACAGGTTCGGTAAACTCCTCTTTTTTAAAGTAATATCTGTATTTATTATCATCGATATAAGAAGCATCCTGTTTATTATCCATTTTTAACGCTGAATGAAAAGGTTTATCTATCGAATTAGACTATAACATATTTCTAATTTTTTTTACTTTACTTACTAACGTTTATGTATAGCAAGTAACGCTAATCGTGCCGAGTCACATTAGCCTCGACTGTGGAAGACAGATATTTTCTGCGTGTGTCAACAATGAGATATATTGACCTAGCTTCACATATACAAAGAAACTATGCGAATTTTTTTCTCATCCAAATTCTCATCTATCTAATTCCACACACGGTTTCACCCAACACCCACCTATGTCCACATCCTCAAGACGGTTTCTTCACTTCGTGGAATGTTTGCTGGTTGTTATGCAGTTGAATCAATTTCACAATCAACTATTGATTCATCAAATACATTCAAAGCAATGAATATTTCTTTGTTATCTTCAAGTCGTCTTTTGTTAAATTCAGCAATTCAATCAATTATGAATGAATTAATGATGGAAGAATTTCAAAGTGATTTATCATATGAACAATATTTCCAAAGTTGTACACCAATTGCATGTATTTCTTCACATAAAGTGAATTTTTATGTAATTATTTA